TTATAAAATGTTTGGGTATCTTGTGTATGCGAATGCACAAACAAACAAGCAAGCAAGCAAATCAATGCAAAGTAAAACTCTATAGTTTTATACTGGAGATTAAGTCACAATATCATGTTACACATTTAGAAATCTTTATTAAGCAAAAATATTAAAATATGAGGCTATTGTTTCTCGTCATCTTTTTTTAGTGTGTTTATTTTTCCTTTATTTTGTTCACTTTTCCTCATTTTATTTTTAATTATTATTATGTTTAATCATTTTATTGGGGGCTCGTACAATTCTTATCACAATCCATCCATCCATCCATCCATTGTGTTAAGCACATTTGCACATTTGTTGCCATCATCATTCTCAAAACATTTGCTTTCTGCTTGAACCCTTGGTATCAGCTCCTCATCTTTTCCCCTCCCTTCCTCCCTCCTTCTCCCCCTCCCTTCTTCTCCAGGTAGGTCTATACATTTCTGATGATGATGTTTCCATATTTCTAACTCTGTCCTGGAAAAATCCTGTGCTCGTTGATTCACACATCAATGTGTGCTTCCTCATGGAGCTAGCACCATGTTCCTTTCAAATCATCTTTTAGATGAAGGAATCAAAAAGGTGTCTGAAGGGGCGAGACCAGGGCTGTAGCGTAAGGTAAAAGGAGTAAGGTTTCCCCATGCAATTCTTCCATGACAGCCCTTGCTACCCTTGAAAAATGGTCAGGTGCATTGCTGTGATAGGGGGAAAATTGTCGGTACAACTTATCACCCATATCATTTTCTGTTTTTTTAAGTCTTCTTCTTAATAAGTCCTTTGATCTGCCTGTGTTCTTCAAGAAAATCTACCCACGTGATTCTTTTGGAAACCCCCCCCCCCCAAACAATTGCAATAACCTTCTGAGCTGACCTCTCAGCCTTGAGTTTAACTGGATCATTGCTAAGTTCCAGGTAGTCTCGGTTTCTGTGGTTGAAAATGATATTTGCAGTGAAGTCCATGGTTTCGCATAATCCCATCATCCAATCTCCAGCTTTCTTTCTCTCACCAAGGCCCTATTTTCCAATCATGGACCCTTCTCTTTTGTGTCTAACTTTTGTATTCCGGTCACCAGTAATTATCTTGATAGCATGACTGATCAGTATCAGACTGAAGAATTTAATATAATTCAATTTCTTCATCTTTGACTTTAGAGCTTGGCATGCAATTTTGAATAATCATACAATTAAGTGGTCTTCCTCGTAGGCGTATGTATATAATTCTCCGAATGATGCTGTTGTGCTTCAGGATAGATCTTGAAATGTTCTGTTTTGATAATGAATGAACATAGTGAATTACATGATTGTCCTATTCAAAATGGCCCGCGCCAGTCCACATTTGCTCATTAATGCCTAGGCTAAGAAGCCCTAGTGATACTGTGGGTTAGGCATTGGGCTACTCGTCACAACATTGATGGTTCAAACCCACCAGCCACTAGTCAGGACCAAGATGAGGTTTTCAACACCCTCAAATGCCCTGTGTGGTGTTGCTATGAGTAAGAATCTATCTAATGATAGTGCTTCAATGCCGAGAGTATCGATCCTAATGTGCTTCATTTTACTTTTGATAATTTCCACATTTCCTGCTCTGATTACTAATAAATGTCTTCAGCTGCAGCTTCTCATTTTGAGCCATGCCCCATCAGGAAATGAAAGACTCAAAACTGCTCCATCCACATCATTACTGTTGAGTCTACTTTAAAGAACTAGCTCTTCCCCCATCGCATTTGAATGCCTTCCAACCTGAATCTCACCTTCTGGCACTCTCAGACAACCTTTCATTGCTATCCTTGAGGTTTCAGTGGCCAATGTTGTCCATTTCTTCTTAGTTTGGGTTAGTGTGAAAGACTCACTGACATCTGTCCACTGACTCTGCTGGCATTTAGAATATCATTGGCATCACTTCTACCATCACAGCAACATGCAACCTACCACAATATGACAACCTGACAGATGATGGGTGGATCATAAAGACTGCAGCCTTGGAAAACCGTCGGGGGTAGTTTTCCTTTACTCTGCCAGAGTTGCTTTGAGTCGTGGTGATGTTTGTGTTTAGGTCCTTGACCTTCTCACGAGCATTTTTGATAGCATGATGGCAGCAGAGGCCTGATGGGAGAGGGCCTGTGGGAGAATGGTCACCAGAAATGGAAGGCAGTGAAAAGAGACCTTTTGGAAACTGTACTCTGTAAAATGAAGGAGAAGAGGAGAGTATTGGGTGGGACAGAGAAGAGAGGTCCAGAGAGGGCTTTGAAGACAGGAAAATATCAGGCTACACGGAGACCCGTGAGAAGGAGCGAGTGGTAACGGAAAACTGATGAATGACAAGAAGGAGGACGAATTGCTGCGGTGCAGTCCTTGAGTGGGCGAGGGGCGATTGTGCTCAAGTGGCCTTTGCTCAGAGTGCAGATCTTTCACTCACGTTCATGAAGGGAAGACCATGTGCACGTGTGCTGCCCTAGTTACGCAGACAACAGGAATTTGGAGAATCACGAGTGTTTCCATTTTCTAAATAATAATAATAATAATAGGTGGGGTGGGTGGGGTTGGATGAGTACGCTCATCCACCACAAGTGAGAATGGAATCAAGTGGTTTGGGAAGCAATGAAAAGTTTGGAGGTTGCCATTTGGGGGAGTAGGAGAGAGCAGGGATGGTGCTTGAACCAGTTTGCTGGGTAGTAGAAAAATTCCACTTCCCCTCAGTCATCAAGGATTTCCAGCAAGAAGACCACTGAGTCTGAGTATGAATGTCTTCCAACAAGTTTGATCCTGTCTATGTTGTAGACAGAGACTGCTTCCACGAGGTGCACCCCTGGTGTTATTAGGCACCAGGCACTGTGGTAGGTGCAGGAAATAAAGGGATAAACAAAATTGGTTTGCTTTCTGCTTGCTATTCAGTTATTTAGTGAACACTTATTAGTTCAAACACAGCCAGTGGTGCTTAAGAAAGCCTGGTGATCTACTGTCATAATTTTACCAAAGTCGAAAAACAAACCCACTGCCACTGAGTAGAGTTTGACTGACAGTGACCTTATGGGACAGAGTAGAATTTCTCTATATAGTGTTTGAGACTATTTATCTTTACAAAAGCAGGCAGCCCCATCTTTCTCCTATAGAGTTGCTTGCGGGTTTGAACTGCTGACCTTCTGTTGCAGCCAATGCTTAACACCGCATCCCACCAGGAATCCTTTCTATAAGACTATAGCTACTAAAATACAAAGGGAGGCCCTCCATGAGACGAACTGACACAGTGGCGCAAGCATAGGAATAACCGGGAGAATGGAGTGGATTGTCAACAGAACGAGTGGGTGCCTGAGGTGTCTTTGATGGTAGGAGGAATCACTAGGAGGGTATTGGTATTTCAGGTGAGTCACCTGAGCTGCTACGTGGAACTTGGATTTAGGATGGAGACCAGAGGCAGGGGCCTTACATGGGTTATGTACTAGTAGATCAGATAGGAAATGTTGAGTCTAAAGTTGTTGTTGTTAGGTGCTGTGGAGTCTGGTCCTGGGCCTCCTCACCGTTGTTCTTACAGTCGCGCTCATGGTTGCAGCCTCTGTGTCAATCCATCTTCTTGAAGATCTTCCCCGTTTTCGCTGCCCTTCTATTTACCAAGAATCGTGTTCTCTTCAAGGGCTTGGTCTCTCCCGATAGCGTGTCCAATGTATGTGAGATGAAGTCTTGTCATCTTCACTTCTAGGCAGCATGCTGGCTGTACTTCTTCTGAGACAGATTTGTTTGTCCTATCGGCCGCCCACGGCACTATCCATATTCCCCAGCAGCATCAATTAAATGCAACTCTTCTTTCCTGGTCATCCTTATGCAGTATCCAGCTTTCATATGCTTTTGAGGTGATTGAAAATGCAGTGGCTGGGGGGAAGCACACCTTCTCCCTCAAAGTGGCAGCCCTGCTGTTCCACACTTTCAGTCGGTCTTTACCCAATGCAATATGTCATTCCATCTTTTGGTTGCTGCTTCCATGAACGTTGATTGTGGATCCAAACCAGAAGAAATCCTTAACAACTTCCATCTTTTTTCCCGTTCGTTGTGATGTGACCTATGGATCTGGTCGTGAGGAATTTTGTTTCTTTACAGTGAATTATAGTCCACATTGGAGTACTAAGTTAGGACTACTGTTACTGGAGTGGAGAAAAAGGAATAGATAAGAGAAACAATTGTCAGGGCTGAATGAATTTTTGAATGTAGAGCCTGATGAATCTCAACTTTTAATTCTATATCTTGGCTGCAAAAAAACTCCTTAACCTGAGCCCCAAACTAAAAAACCAAACTCATTGCCATTGAGTTGATTTCAACTCATAACTACTTTGTAAGACGGACTCAAACGGCCCCTGTGGACTTGCAGGGCTGTAAATCTGTCAGGGAGGTTTCTCTTGCGCGGTGACCGGTGGGTTCAAACCTTTGCCTTGCAGTTAGCCCTCCAA